CAAATTCTTCAAACAGAAAAAGGCCGCTTAATACGGTGCGGTGGAGGCCTCGTGCTGCCAGTGTGGTGGTTTTTGAGTGGATGGGCGACGAACTTCAAGAAAGGTTGCAGGGGTTCCAGGCGAAAGCCATGTCTAGTAGTTCACCGGGCCGGCAATGGCTACGCCTTCGGGTGTTGTAACCCCCTCTAGGGCACTGTCGAGGATTCATCTCTTCCTTGGCGAGTTTCTCGAGGTGATGGCGGCGTCTTTGATGTCGTGATCTCTGTGGGGGCATCGTTTTAGAGTCTCGTCTTTGTTGTTTTGTCGTAGGCCTAGTGGCGATCGGCCACGTATAGCGGAGGTCTTTTGGTGCTAGGTTCCTCTCTCGGTGGGTTGTGTTTGTGTGGTTAGCACGTGGTTCTTAGTCATGCACTTTGGTGCACTTCTGACTTCGATAGTGTCTGTCGATTGTTGTAATTTTTTTCCTTTTTAATATATTCGGATGGTCTCCTTCGGTCTTTCCCGGTGAAAAAAAGCCGCTTAAGTCGATGCCGTCGATGGATCTAATTAACTGGTGTAGGTCATTGAGAGTTTTCACCTAAGTTGCTTGTTCTCCAAAATGACCAAAACCATGCCACAAATTCTGTTGGATTGAACTAGAAAAGGCTAGATTTTCTAAAGTCTATAGCTCAGTACACATATTCGACTATTAAAATTAAGATTATTGTAGGTTATACCGATCAAACAGAGACGTCAGTTGCGGAGACAGGGACGGCTAGTAGCATGGCCTCCTCGAACAATACTTCTATATCTATATTTATATTACCTAATTAAAAAATACGTAAGGTTTCGTAAAAAAAATTCCGTCCGTCTTTTTTTTCTTTTTCGTCCTTTTTTGCAAATTTTTTTCGTCCGTTTTCCTTTATCCGGCGGAAAAAAAAAGCGTGCAAAATAACCACATGCAAAAAAAAACTGGGGAAGAAAACCGCGTGCGAATAAACCAATCGGATAAAAAAACCGATCGGACGGAAAAAAACCAGCAAGAAAACAGCCTATTGGACTTTTTTTTCTCAGTCCTTTTTCACCCTTTTTCTTTTTTCTTTTTTCTGTTTTTTAGTCTTTTTTTTGTCCGTCTTTTTTTCTGCTCTTTTTCCATGTGCTTTTTAATTTTTTTTCTGGGCCTTTTTTCCGGTTATTTTCATATGTTTTTCTTCGTTGCTGTTTTTTAGTTGTATTTTTCCGCACGCGGTAAGGATTTGTGCCATGTTTTTTTCATCACGGGGCGAACACTAACGTCGCCGCCATGTTGATCTATCTTCCCATGCGTTCCCTCCTCCAATTGATTGCCAAACATCAATCCCCCCTACTCCCTCACCATTTTCCTCATGATTTTCCCTTTTAACTCCGCTGTAATTCACTGAATTTAATCTCTATTTAAAAATCACCGGCTTTTTTTTCTTTCCGTCCTTTTTCACCCTTTTTCTTTTTTCTTTTTTTTTCTGTTTTTTTCGTCTTTTTTTGTCCGTCTTTTTTCTGCTCTTTTTCCATCGGCTTTTTACTTTTTTTCTAGGCCTTTTTTCCGGGTTTTTTCATATGTTTTTCTTCATTGCTGTTTTTTTAGTTGTATTTTTCCACACGCGATAAGGATTTGTGCCATGTTTTTTTCGTCGCGGGGCCGAACACTAACGTCGCCGCCATGTCAATCTACCTCCCCATGCGTTCTCTCCTCCAATTGATTGCCAAACATCAATCCCCCTACTCCTTCACCATTTTCCTCATGATTTTTCCTTTTAACTCCGCTTTAATTTACTGAATTTAATCTCTATTTAAAAATCACCTTTTTATCTCGAGTTTTGTCGCTTCGATTTCAATAAAAATGGAAAGAGGAGAACTAGTGTATCAAAAACTCTCTACCAATTTGGAAGATCGAGAAAGATTCGACTGGATTTGATGTGGGGGATTTGACCAGATTTGATGGGGAGAATCGGGGACCTACAGCTCCACTTGACAAGGAAGGAAAGAAATGAGTTTTTGTCCAAAACCAAATAGGAAAATATATAGCAATCTAAAAATGTTTTTACCCGTTGCAACGCACGGGCATTTTTTCTAGTATATTGTTAAAATACGTAAGGTTTCTGTTTTTTTGTCCGTCACTTTTTTTTTATTTTCATCTTTTTTTTCCTTTTTACCGTTCCTCCATTTTTTTTCTTCGCTTCTTTTTTCCTTTTTTTTCACCCGTTGTTTTTTTCTCTTTTAACGTTCTGTTTTTTTTTCTTTTTCGCCGTTTGTTCTCGTCATCTCCACCGCCATGTCGATCGGTCTCCGCATTCTCTCCTTCAATTGATAGTAAAAATCGATTCCTCACTACTCTCTTATTATTTTCTCCATAATTTTTCCTTTCAATGCCGCTTTAATTTACCGGACTCCCTCATTATTTTTCCCATAATTTTTCCTTTCAATTCCGCTTTAATTTACCAGATCTAATCTCTATTTAAGAGTTTTATGGATTCGCTCAGATTTTGATAAAAACAGAAGAGTAGAATAAGTGCATCACAAACCCTTAACCAATTTTAGAAGATCAATAAAGATTCGATGCGATTTGATAGGAGATCAGTTCTAGCATCACACTCTTCCGGGCTTTGATGGGGAGGATCAGTTCTAGCATCACACTCTTTCGAGCTTTGACGACAGCAGTCGGCTATATGAGTTGCTATAATGTATAGTGATCGAAAATGTTTTTATCTATTGTTAAAGACGACAGTCGGCTATGCGAGCCGGGCCTACAGCTTTACTCGTGGGCTAGGTCAAAGAGACGCACGCCAAGCTGAGAGAGGTAGCGGGCTAGGCTGGGATAAAAATAGAACGAAGAAATAATCTTTTGGCCCAAAAAGAGTATAATGTATACGATTCAAAAATGTTTTTATCCGTTGCAACACACAGATATTTTTTCTAGTTTACATATATATAATCATGTAACTAATTAGGTAATTAACCAAAGTAATAGCGTATTAGGTTATCTCCAAGACTCTTGGGTGGTCTCTCTTATGTTAGAAAACCTTACTCGGCAGCAGAGAAACATGCTTAATTAAATGATCAACTTTTAAGGTATAGCCAACTTGAAAATACATGAAGCGGCCGACACGTACGGATCTAAGGACGAGACTTCATCAGACCATGACCACCATACGCAGAACCCCTATCGCACTTGCCAAACCGTCGCGATCTCCACAAATCGAGCCAAAAACATTCTGCACTGTACACGACCAATTTGTATCTGCCTAGCTAGCCACCCTGGCACGCTGCAGATACAACTAGCTTTTGCTCGCTCACTTAGTTTCAACTAGAGCTTTTGCTCGCTCGCTCACTACTATCTTCAATTTATTTATAGCTAAACTAATAGCCAATTCATACAATAGTTGCTTACTATACTATTAATATATAGTCCCACCTGTCATATACACATTGCGTCTTGGAGTCCGTGTTGCAGCTGGCTACGAATCTGTAGCCCGCTGCTCTTCTCTCTCATCGTTTATCTCATTAAAATATGTTTATAGCTGGTTAATAGCTTGCTATTGTATCTGCTCTAAGTCCATTGTAATCTATCTTCCACTGCCATTGACAACAAGGGATCCTAGGTAAACGAAGATTCCTAGTTTGTAAACTTAAAAAGAAGAATGGACAACTACATAGCATCCTGGTCTAATTAGAATTTAGCATGTGTGACTTATGATAACTATGTGCGTATGTTTACTATCACCTTGCTAGTTTAGTAAGAGTGGAACCGACATATTAGAATTCATCCCTTCAACCATATGACTCCCGGGTTGATCCTTTTATACGAAGCGATGATGGAAGTATAAGTGAGGTGGTATGTGTAAGTGGGTCCACCTGTCAAATAGACTGGTTACGCAGTTCTGAAGGGAAGGCTATTACAATCTATTCAGCATAATTGTACTAATATAGGCCAAAGAGAAAAATGGTCATAGACCTAAAGGACCCAGAGCAGGGGAAAGGGAATTTAAACCAGTGTGGTAGCTTCTTCTAGAATCGGCTGTCTCATTAAAATGCAATGTCCAATTTGCAGTATCCAATTTGCAAGTGGTCCTTGTTGTTTTAGCAACTAAACTGAAGCACATGCTGCCTCCAACCCCAGAGCAATGCATGGGGTGGCAACTGGCAACTATCTCTACCAAGAGACAAAAAAGAAGTATGATTAAGTGTGGGTAACTAGAGACATAAACCACAGGAATAGGATAAACAACACCAAGACAAACATTCCAGTCCCAGTAGTGCTTATAGCTAGGCTAGAATGGTGCTAAGCACAAACTGCATCACGTGAACCTAACTAGGAAAATACTATATGCTCATACTATCATAGTAGTAAGAAAGCAAGAGGAATTTAATTCTCTCTTGGAAGAACAAGAATCCAACTACCAAATCTCTCTCTCCCTTATCCCCTTTAACCTCTTCACAAGGATTTCTTCTTTCTTTCTTTTCTTTTTCTCTTTTGTTCTTGTGGGAACATGCATGACAGGTGCAGGCGTCAGAATACGGATGGGCACAATGGGGAAGGAGGATGCTAAACAACAAAACCAGCGTCAGGCCAGCCAGCATAGACCACGGTTTGTGTACACACACACACACACACACACACACACACACACACACACACATATATATATATATATATATATATATATATATATATATATATATATATATATATATATATATATATATATATATATATATATAATTCATATATACACACACACATGCACTTGCTTCCAAGGCACACACCAGAAGAATATCACACAAGCAGAAGCAAACAGGGCAGCAGCACATCACATAGAAGTAGTAGTAGATCACACACCATGATGCATCATCAATATATGCTCTCTACCAAAATCAAAGCCACGAGCCACAGCTCCAGCCAGCCAGCAGTATGCAGTTGGCACTTTACTTGGCACCCACATCACACCCTGCCAACTTCCAAAGCAAGCTCTATACTCAACAGCTGCTAATCCAGACAAGAACCTGCAGATGGTTTTAATGCACTAATTAGTAACTAGTTGTTGCATGACCCCAGCTCCAGCTAGCTCAAGAATGGAAATCAGGGTTACAAATGTTCATCCTTGAAAAGGTAAAGGGAAATGTGAAGGGGGAAAAAGGGGGTTAGTCTCACAAACTGGAACAGAAAAAGAAAAAAGAAAAAGAAAAAAAAAAGAGAGGAGACAACCAAGAAACAATGGAAGGAAAACAAGAATTCTAGAGATGGGTCTCCTCCCATACATTGGAGTGCAATGTAGGTAATAATGGCGAAACTTGGGGACCTTCTCGCCAAAAACTCTTCTCTCTCTCTCTCTCAATATTTTTTTTCCCTTTGGAAGTTCTCTCTAACAGAGCATGCACAATTGCGAGAAGGCCCCCCTACAATTAGTGAATTGCGGAACTCGGCGGCGGCGAGCGGCGGCGCGGGGACGGCGGCGGCGGCGGAGGCTCAGACGTAGCCGTTGCGGCTGAGGTGGAGGAGGCCGGAGCTGCCGCACTTGGGGCACACGTCGGCGGTCTTCGGCACCATGAAGTACATGAAGCAAGCCCGGCAGCCGGCGGCGACGAGGACGTGGGCGCCGTTGTCGCCGACGGCGTAGCCGCTGCCGGCGCCGGAGGCCGACTCGTCGGTGGGGGAGAACGACGAGAGCGTGGACGACACGGCGGAGCCCCGGCTGCTGCTGGCGCTGCTGCTGCTGCTGCTGCTGCTGCTACTGCTGCTGCTGCTCTCCTCGTCGTCGCCGTCGCGGCCGTCGTAGCCGTAGCCGTAGCCATAGCTGCCGTAGCCGTAGCCGTAGCCGTAGCCGTGCCCGCTGCTGTCGTGCGAGCGCCACGCCGCCGCCGCCGCGGTGACCGCGCCCACGGACGACACGGAGGTGTACCCCGACGACGTGGTGGTCGACGCCGCGGCGGCGGCGCCGCCTCCGCCGCCGCGGCCCCGCGCGCGCGAGCAGCGGCGGGAGGAGGACGACGCGGACCGCGACGCCGGCGACGGCGAGTACGCCGACGACGAGCGCGGATCGATGGTCGTCCGGGTGCCGTCCTCCCAGTTGATGTAGTAAACTTGCCCCGTCTGCATCAGCAAAGCCAATCACAAAGCACATTTCACACAAATTCACATGAAGTCATGAACTACACATCAAAATTCATCTAAAAATAATAACAATAAAGGAAATGCGCTTGAACTAGACAGCTAGTGGTACAGATTAAGTTAATCTTGCAAATGGCGAAATGCTGTTTCAAGAATGTGGTGAGTAAATGTGCATGATGCATGGAGAAGTTTGGGTGGGGAAAATCTACAAGTACATTTTGGTGACAGTCTGCAAGAACAATTAATGCGGTGGCATTCAGTTGCTTCCGTGAAACAAGGTTGAGAACCTATTAATAACTGATGCCCATAACAAAGTACAGCAGAACAGGGGAAAGAAAAAAAATCTGGATCAAATGGTGTAATGAATGCTGCTCTCTTTGTCCTCTTGTTTGTTTGCAAATCACAGGGCAAGGTTGGCAATGAAGAACACCACCACCAAATTCTCATTTCATCCTTTGTAAAAAAAAAAAAACTCTAATCTGCAGGAAAGCTGTTCTACTTAAAAAGCACATAAATGTATTGCAGTAGTATCTTCAGAAAAGGCTACTGAAATAACCATAAGAAGAGCATTTTTGTCTACTCTGTTGCTGGAGACAAGGTGGAGATGAACACTCCATTTTGGTGATTAATACGCATGAATCTTCATTGGGGTAGGCATTCATTCGTCTGTTCAAAGTACTAGCAGGGATGAAAAAGAAAGGGAGACACTTTGTCACAATGGAACTGAAGATTTCCCAGAGGTGAGAATCATCTGGTGTTTAACAAAGCTCTGCGATTAGATTAGAACCCAGGACCAAAAAAACAGAGCATTGTGGTCCAGAAGAAATCTATAGCGAAATCTAGAGTTTCAGATAGAGACAGAGCAAAAAGGAATGGATCTACAGGGATGTGTCAGAAATTTAGAATGCAACACAGATCTGAATGCGCGCTTAGATCAGAGACCAGAGAAGGTGTGGAGATTTGAAGAGCCTTGATATCATCAACAAAAAAAAAGAAAAAAATAGTACCATCTTTTCCGAGGTTTCTTTTCTGAACTTTTGTCATCCCTGTGTTAAAAAGAACGGCCTGAATCTCTCTGAAGATGATCGAATCCCCAACCAAACGAAGATAAGAACCGAAGAAAAAAAACAGAGATAAATAAAAAAAATATTTGCATAGACGAAGAGAGGAATCGCAGATGAAGCAAGGATCCAAGAACAAGAACAAGAAGAGAGAAGGGAGACGAGGAGCAGAAAGAGAAGAGGAGGAAGAAGAAAAAAAAAATCAGCGCGGACGGGTCGTCTCGTCTCGTCTCTCTCTCCAGTTCGAGCGCCCGCTTTCGCCATTAATGATCAAATGATTGATCCCAATCGAGCCCAAACCAAACCACACCCACCTACCTCGGAAACTGCTATCCATTTATGTCTCCAAATGATTGGACAAAGGGCGGCGCGCCGCCGCCCACCGCCGCCGCCGCCGCAAGAATCGATCGGGGAAGAAAAGGAAACGCGGCGTATGCATGTATGGATGCATGTGTGGAAGAAGAGATGGGCGAGTAGTAGTAGACGTACCCGGATGTCGAGGCACTGCTCCCAGTGGTAGGGCAGGGCGACCTCGGAGTTGAGCTCGACGGTGACCCCCTCGCTGTCGTCGCTCCCCTCCGCCGCCGCCGCGCGCCTCCCCCTGCGCCGCCCTCCTCCTCCTCCTCCCCCGCCGTTGAGGGAGCAGTTGCGCAGCGACGAGGCGATCATCTCGATGTTCGGGGCAGTCATCAAGTCCACCACCACCACCACCACCCCACCCCCCCACCCCTCCCCCTCTCCAACAAGAACCAAACGGACGGCGAGGAAGAAGAAGAAGAAGAAGAAGAAGGAGGAGGAGGAGGAGGAGGAGGAGAAGGAGGAGGAGAAAGGAATTTGCTTTTGCTGTTGCTGCCGCAGCGGCTGCCGATGCCGCGGTGGTGGTGGTGGTGCGCGTGGCCCCCCGGGGGTAGCGTAGGCAGCGTATGACGCGTGAGGCTACAGTGGTGGAGGTGGAGGTGGTGGTGGTGCCTGGTTGGAGCCACTGTTATATATACTGCCATTGTTGCTCCTGCTGCTGCCAATCTTGGGTGTTTTTGGGGTGGTTTTTTGGTTTTGGTTTTGGTTTATAGGGTTCTTTGGTTTGGTTTAGGAGGGGGTGGAGGGAATTGGAGGAACAGTCTGTCTGGACGAGTGCCAACTGTGTGCCAACATAGTATGCGCTGGGATTAACGGACGGACGCCGATGCCTGCCCAGGGTATCGGGCGGTTTCTGGTTCACTTCCTACGTCTTGTATGCTTGCCCAAGGTATCGGGTGGTTTCTGGTGCACTTCCTACGGCTGATATGGTGCTGGCGGGTGGGGGTGGGAGCGTCGTGATATGCGCCGATGGTTTTTCCGGCGCCTATGTAAATCTGGGGGCCGTGAGAGAGGTTTTGTTTTCGTGCGCTGGATTCACTGGCGTGTAAGTATGCGTATTAGGCTATGAGTAATTGACGGCTTGTCCGCTTCCTTTTTAGTGAAGTAATGATACTGTAATAATGAGATATGCTTCCAAAACAACGAGAGGTCGAGAGCGATCAAGGTGAAAGTTTTAATTAACCATGCCTAGCTTCCTGGTATTCATGAATGGTATTCTATGCTACGATAGTCCGAAGGCCTATGGAACCTGTTTCACATGTGTATACCGAGTCTATATAAGTAATTGTGTGTTCCTTATCAATGTTGCATTGAGGATGCTATAGAAGACAATAATATTTTTTTAATGAATGAACCAGCCTTGATCTTCTTTTTGTTTAAGATAAAAGAAGAAGGAAAACTGTGATAATGTGGTGTACGACCAAAGGAAGAAAAGTATAAGCATGAAGGGGTTGAAAGGTGCAAATGATGAAAGCTTTCTGCTGCAGCCAAGGGGGAGAGAGAGGGGGGGATCGATGAATGATGCTAGGGGGAAAGGTAACATCAACCTACTACCATGGCCACTCTCTCTCTCTCTCTCTCTACATATCGCTCTCTCTCGTATGGTGTGTTTTGGTGTTGCATGTTGTCCCTGCTGGCTGATGCAGCTAGCGGAGCTCAAACCAAACCACTGGCCCGGCCCGGCTCTTGGGCCACCATCTCCTGCGCAGATTCCTCTTCTGCCAAACCGAGGAAAGGTTCCCCCCTTGTCCCTCCCTCCTCCTCTCTCTTTCTCTCTCTCCTTCCTTGAATCAACCTGACCATTTCAAAAACTCCATCACAACTAGCTGAATTTGTCTCTTGGAAAATGGCATTAGCTTAGCAGCAAAATGTGGCAATAAAATTATAGAAAACATGCAGTGTTATGTACAGTGTAACTGTGTAGAGAGAGAGAGAGAGAGTGTGTGTGTGTGTGTGTGTGGAGGAAGAAGAAGCTGAGAGCCTGAGAGCAAGCACGGTCAGTGGCCTCTGATGTCTTTGACCTACTAGCATGCATGCATGTACACCACTGTTGCAACATCAGACGAGATGGATGGATCGAGCTGGGACGCATGCGAGTTAATACTTTTTTTTATTCTATATTGATCATCATATATATAAGTTTTTTCATGAAAACCAATGTGAGTTGAGAACATTTGAAACGTTGTAGAGAGTTTTAGCAAAATTTGTTAAGTCTTCTGAATGTGTAACACATCTGGTCGTCGCCTTCATATAATTTGACAGGCACATATCAGGCTGAAGTTGACTAGATATGTGAGATTGTCTCACATGTTCACTACTCGATATCACATATTTTATTTAATGTAATTAAGTTGTGATGGAAAAAATGAAAGCTTAACAACCTCTAAATGCGTGCATGCATACATGCATGCTTAATTTGCATGCATGCATAAATCGCATCACTTAACATTGGGTGAGTATGAATTATCCCAAGATCTGAAATCAGACATCTTTCATGCTCAATTATTAATATCGGATGAAGAACCTCTAACTTAATCCGGAGTGGTTATGATCTTAGTTGGTAGTCAAGTCAGCATTTTATTTAAAAACAATATGCGGAATCCACCTATCAGATTCTCTCCGTTTCACCCCTCTCTAACAGATGGATCCCACCGATTTCTTAAAAAATGCTACCTAGACTGTCATGTAGGACCAAAACCACTCTAGATTAAGTTAGGAGAGTTCTTCACTTGATATTAATAGTTGAGGGTAAAAAATGTCTGGTTTTCGGATCTAGGTGTAATTCGTACTCACCTAATAGTTTAGAGGTGTAATTTAGACTTTCTCCTAAATACAATACTGTTGCACGTCAAACCAAAGGGCACTGGTTATATAATGATCAATTTAAATTTTTTAGTATTATATGATGATCAATATGTGAAGGGATCGATGATGTCACACTACGTATTATGTTCGTTTATTTTAGAAAGAAAGGAGCATGGAGAATCTCTTATTACCATGTAGCTTGTCTCTGTCCTCTCCTCTCCGGCATGCATGCACGCGCTTGCGTTGCTTCGTTTCGCTTGGTTGCTTGCACGCTTGTCCATGCATGCACGCACGCGTGGTGTACCGCGAAAATCTTTTGGATGGCTGCGCCTAGCTCGTGTTCGTGCATCTATCTATCTATCTATCTATCTGTCTATCTTGCATCATCATCACGTACTGGATCGATGTATGTATCTCTTTCCTCCTCCTCCTTTTTTTGATCTAGCATATAGCTTAATTTGTTCTCGTTCTCGTTGTTGCGGTGTACGCTCTGCTAGATTCCAATGCAGATGCGTGGTAGTACTCCTACGTGGGTAACATGGGACATGGCCGTTGTTGCTTGCTCGCTTTGCTGATCTCTGGTGGTTTCTCTCACGCCCAATGACGACGACGACCATGATGATGATTGATGGAACTCCGGAAAGGGGGAGATTGTTTTGTAGGGCCGTAGCTGTCTCTGGAACAGATATGCTGCATCGATCTCGGACCAACCCTGCTACTAGTAGTGGTAGTGGTGGTAGCGGAGATCGGTCGATTTTTTTGGGCCCTGTTGATTCAAGTGGACGGGCAAATGCGACCCTCCCCACACGGTTGTGCATGGGATCGACGTTTTCCTCCTCCCACGTACTACCTCCTTCCCTAAATGTTTGACGTCATTGATTTTTTTAAATATGTTTGACCATTCGTCTTATTCAAAAACTTTTGTGAAATATGTAAAACTATATGTATACATAAAAGTATATTTAACAATAAATCAAATGATAGGAAAAGAATTAATAATTACTTGATTTTTTTAAATAAAATAAACGGTCAAACATATTTAAAAAAGTCAACGGTGTCAAATATTTTGGGATGGAGGGAGTACGTACGTACTACCTCCGTATATTTCGATAGAATCGACTAAGGCAGTGTTTGTTTCTATGGAAGGAAGATAAAGTTAGTGCACAGAAAACACGAAAAGGACCCCGTAAAAAAACACGAAAAGTCATTATTAACTCATAATTTATTAATAAGTTTTCATTATTACAAAAAAATTGTGCAACAACTTTCATTTATCACCGCTACATAACAGGTTTTTCCATACGGTCCAATCCCAATTTTCACGGATGGCAGGGCGATCCACATGCACCAAATGGTCTGTGAAAATCGTTCACGCGAAAATCCGACTTTTTACGTGCGGGTGCTTATGTCGCCCGCTCGCAAAAATAAAAATCCAAAAAAATTAAAACCCAAAAATGGCGAAACCTAACCTGCCCTCCTCGTCGTCGTTGTGGGGGCATAGGGGCCTAGCGGCGGCTGGGTCCGCCCGCTCCCGTCGCCGGAGCCAGAGCCAGATCCACCGCCACTGTGCCTCCCCACTGCCGCCGCGCGGGGTAGGGCAGCCGCTGCCCCTCCCCACCGTTGTATCCGCCGCCGCCGCGCCTCACTGTTGGTATTTATTATGACCACGGAATAATCTATAAGCGCACAAATACCGTTGTAGCCTTCACCCAAGAGTATTTCAGTGTATCATATCCACAGTAAACGTGTGTGTATAATCTAAGAACGAAATTCTTCGAAGGACAACAACTAAATGGTAGGCTTGGGATAGAGTGGACTCCTGTGGGTTAGTTATCTTAATTAAGTTAACGTAAAACTCTATCACATGGGCAAGATAACTTGTCAAAAAACCAAATCAGTGCCAGGTCCATTGGTGAAAGACTATCTTAGCACAATTTTCCATTTGAAAAAATAATAGTAAAAGGACCTCGACAATCCTTTGCTAGCCAATAATTCACATACCTATTCATGTAAACAAATCACAACTACGAAAAGGATTTTTTCGTGCGGTGGAAAAGGGTTTTCACGTGCGAGTGGGCGAACCGCACGCACCCAGTTGTCTGCGAAAATCGCTATTTTTTGCGTGCGGGTGGCGCACCCTCATGCGAAAATCTGATTTTCGCGTGCGGGTGCTTATATCGCCCGCACGCAAAAATAAAAAACCAAAAAAAAATAAAAAAAAACCGAACCCTAACCTTGTCGCCATCACCATCGTCCTCGTCAGATCCGCCATCGCCACGCCTCCTCCCTAACCTCAAAGCCGCCGCAGCCGTCGTCCTCGTCGTCGCCGTTGTCCTCGTCAGATCAGCCACCGTCACGCCTCCTCCCCACCGCCCGCCGGCCGCCGCCACCACCAAATAAGTGGCTTCCAGGCAAGCATGCTCTGCTGTTCCTCAGAAGTCTCAACCACCGTATTAATCAGAAGAGTGCCCAAAATACCACGAACTTCCAAGCGAACTCTATATGGCAACTCTCCATTGAGGGGCTCAATAACTGTGTACTATGGAGCTTCAATGTAACCGGCAACAAATGTCATATTTGCAAGCTCCGCAACAAATCCTTCCATGCCTTCACCATGGTGAGTACAGGGAGAATCGGCCATCTAAAGAAAAGATAGAAGGAACAAAACTGACTCCGATCAGAAACGAGATGCTGGCATTAAAACTGGAAACAAAAAGAAAGAAAAGGCACTAAACTGAAATCAAAAATACTGAAGCAATATAAATATTTTTTTAAAAAATACTATTTTTGGCCCAATTTTTTTTTTAAAAACGAAACTCTCCCTTTCTTTTTAAACCGAAACCCTTCCCTTTTTTTCTGCCAAAACCTTTTCCTTTTTTTTGCCAAGAATTTTTTTCCGAAAATATTATTTTTCTTTTTGAAATGCCGAAAACATTTTTTTTAAAAAAAATCAAAAGGCACAAAGAAAAATATTTTTTTGATGAAATTCAGAAACTTGAAAACAAACTCATTTATTTGGACTCACTGGACCACTTGAAAAGGAGGGAAGAAGAGATTTCCAGGGGAATAAGAGAATTTCATAGGGCTCTATGGGCTTTCCGTTTGGTTTGTCCTACGGTCAAGATCGGCTCTGATACCAACTTGTCACGCCCAGAGATTCGACAACCCGAATCCCGGCTATCTGTGCATAGTCCAGGCATCAACTAGAGTACACGAATCTGAAGAAGTTAAAAAAGACTCACACTATTGTATTTTTCAAGTTAAAAGAAGACATTAGATGGAGCGGCTGCCACTAGTTGTGTAGTCACGTCCTATGAAAAAAAAAGCATATATTAAAGTTACTTTCTTTTTATTATAAGTTACTTCTATAATATATATAAATTACTTTTAGGCTTTATTAAATTTACTTTTATATGTCTATGTAATAATTGGCTGTAGCTCTTTTGAGTAAAGGCCGGGATATTTATTCCATTATCTAAAAAAATATATCTAAGAAGTGATTTAGTGAAATCTAAAAGTAATTTTGATATATTATAAATGTAATTTACAATTTTTCATCAGAATATAATCATGTGAGATCTTTCTACAAAGATTTAATTACGAACACGACGGTGTAATCGGATCGTAGATCGGATGAGTAGTTTAAGAGAAATTTTTATTTGAAGTATAGGTGGATAGGATTTCTCATAGATGAAGTAGTAGCGCTGTGTAGTCATGTCCAATATTGGATGCTGCCTTTCAAAAAATAAAAGAGCAATTACAAATTTACAACCATTTTAATTTGTTATTACAGAAAAAAAGAGAAAACGATACTTCTAAAAACAAGCATATCCATATCAGATATCGTATCAAACACAAATGCGTATCGGGATACTCTCGAATGCATATCGAACATGGAAAAGCTAATGGGCGATTGATCGCTAAGGGCGATCAGGGCGACACCCCCTCCTCCTCAACGTGGTTTTCTTTTTTGGTACCGTATTACTTTGCTATTTTTAGTAAATTTATACATCTAAAATTTATACACCTCAAGTTTACACATCTAAAGTTTATACACCTAAAGTTTAGAGACCCAAAGTTTATAAGTCAAAAGTTTATTTATCCGATTCAAATTTGAATTTCAATTCAAATTTTTTTTATATATAGTATTTTCTATATATCTAAAGTTTATAAGTCAAAAATTTATATACCCGATTCAAATTTGAATTTGAATTCAAATTTTTTATATATATAGTATTTCTATACACCTAAAGTTTAGAGACCCAAAGTTTATAAGTCAAAAGTTTATACATCCGATTCAAATTTGATTTGAATTCAAATATTTTTTATATATAGTATTTTCTATACATCTAAAGTTTAGAGAGCCAAAGTTTATAAGTCAAAAGTTTATATATCCTATTCAAATTTGAATTTGAATTCAAATAATTTTTATATATATTATTTTCTATACATCTAAAGTTTATTAACCCAAAGTTTATAAGTCAAAATACCCGATTCAAATTTAAATTTGAATTCAAATATTTTTTATATATATAGTATTTCTATACATAAATTTTTCTAACTGTTTTTTTATTTTTAAAAAGATTTATGGTGTAGTACGAAGAGAAGAAGGGGAGAGGAGCCATATAGGGGGGATGGGGTCGATCACCTGGAGCGATCGATCGCCCATTAGCTTTACCCTATCGAACACATATTTCCGTTGCTTTTTAAACAAAGAAATTAATTTCTGCTACTTTTTCAATATTTAGTCCATACATTGCCAATACTCCTAGTATAAATATCATCATAAGTTACTTAAAGTTTGACATTCCATCCCATTTGAAACTTATTGCATTAAACCATGCATTTCTGCTTTTCCTTCCTTCTATATTGTGTATTTTATAATTTATATATATGCCCCGTAACCGTGATTTTGAAAATATGACTCAGAGCATCTCACGATTTAAACAGCAGGCTGTATCAGCCTATGACGGATCAACTCGTCGACGTACATTGAGCAAAGTATTGCGCATGATCCTTAGCATCATTATTTATCAAATTTTACATAGCTCTTCTCATTTTGCGACAGGGCAGTCACCCTTACTCCCTTAGCATGGGTCAGGATGTAGATACACAGTAAAAACCTTCTAAAACAGTCAGGCGATTTAGATCAAACCACATGGGAGAAAAAGCTGCTACTTGGGACTTGGGAGTGTTACAGATGTGAAGTCCAGGTTATGCACTATACACACTGCTTATAGGAAACAGCCAACTGGCAACTGCTTCCATTCCAGTGTCACTCTTCCTTCAGTATCGGCGGCCACCGCCAGTGGACAAGAGCACTTTGGTGGGTTTCTTGCCTTTCTTCCCGACTACATTTGGTTTGTGCGTGTCCAGGCTATTGTCTGACGCTCTAGTGGAGGAAATGATGCTGGCAAAGGATAATGCGGGTGTTGCGGCTGGCCCTGCATAGAAAACAGTTTAGTTATGCCAGGATTTCACTAGAAGAAAAATGGGCACTGCCGCACACTGGTAAGTGCCAGCGTCCAAAGGTGCATCGTGTGTCACCATACCTTGTTCCCCCGTGCTTTCACTTTTGCCAGTCAAATCCCCAGATTCAACTCTTAGAGGAGGCGAGTCTTGGGCAGACGCAAAGCCAAGCCGTGCAACATCGGAGAAAAGCTTTCTTTCGCTGGCTGGTGGACTCGTGGAGGGTCCAGCATTGTTTCCAAGAGCTTAAATGGAAAATATATACACACATATGAAGTGAGGCAGGGCAACCAACCATACAGGATGAAACATGCAGAGAACTAAAAGCACAATTGCAAACATGTGAATGCTTCAGAATGTGGATTAGGAGCACTAACAAGTATGTGTTTTGCCCCAATAGAAAGTCTGAATATGCAAAATCAGGTCTGTTCATAAATGAGTTTATTTACCTTCAAAGTCATCCAGAGAGAACATAAAATCGCCATGTGGCCCACTACTGGGAGAGAAGCTTGTATGTTCAAACAGCATTGCAGATGCCTGTGCAGCAGCAGCAACTTCGGCTTTCACTCTATCGCTTTCTTCCTAAAGGAAAGCACCAAGGAGAAAAAGTAAATGACCAAAATAAACCTTACAACTATAAGAGTCAGTTTGAACTGGTATGCAAACAGAGCTGAACACAAAAAACATCTCACTCAGGTATATTCTTGAATATATTTTGGCAGCCAAAACACCCAATTTTAAAGAAATTGACCAGCAACTCAAAATATTCAGTTTTTTTTCCAAAAGGCAAAGTCTGCTCTTAGCAACCTAGTTATAAGTTATGTCTGCTTGAGAAAATCCATTCTATGTATCTGACCTCCTGTCACAGTTTAATTTCCATCCTAATTCATACTCCCTCCGTCCCAAAATATAACAACTTTTAGCCCTCAACATTTGTCCCAAAATATAACAACTTCTTCACCAACATTCTTTTTCCAACCAATCACAACCCTCCACCATTCACTTTTCCCACCTACCTCCACTACTCAACCAATCACAGCCCTCCATCATTCACTTTTACCTACTTCCTTAATAACCGTGTCCAACTCTAAAAATGCTTATATTCTGGGATGGAGGTAGTACTTTTTAAAACATACCCCTTAACTTGCAAAACCATTCAAAGGAATCTCTCAGGCCAAAACAACAGAGTTTTCAATTGCAAACAGTGGTTTCAATAAAATTTACTTTCATGGAATTTGGCTCAACTCCATATACTGTTAAGCCACCCATCACTCTCCATCCCACAGTCAGTGTCCACATTGACCAACTTTAATAATAATTAGAAAAACAGTCTGCTCATGAAAAATCGGGTTGTTTCGGCCAGGGATGTCTTTTGAACAGTAATGAAACTTTGTGGACATCTTTTAAATGGTACAAGAGTCCAAAATGAAAATTGAACCAAGGTATCAGATATGTTATAGTACAATGTCCTATTTTCTCCATGTTTCCATATTGTGTGGTACACTGGTAGACATATACATGTATAATATGTCTTGAAAGAAATGCTTTTAAACCATGTGAGATAGACAATGATTACTGTAACTGGCAAGATTGCACTTCCCAGTTCTATCAAAGTTAATAATATGTTTCATAGCATCTCCAGTCATGTACTTGGTGTGTCATTTCTGGTAAACAAACACACCCTGTTCTACATAACCCAAGAGTAACTACACGTCTACACCACACTTGAAGGCACTGCGTATATCATAAGAAACGATGGACCCATACAACAAATTAAGAACATCTAATGTTACTAGGTGACTCCTTGAAAAGCGCCTCTATAAAAAACTATTTGACAGCATTATTAAATCCACAGGGATTAACTGCTGGCAAATCTGAGAATAGTGTCCACTTGCAAAATACAAACTAAAGAAATTTTGAACAAACAACACACAACAGTTCTGACTAACAAATTTTCAAAAGTCGACTAGTCATGATATGACTACTGATGGCGAAATGCTGAATAAACAATACAAAGCAGTTCTAACCTTCTTGGCAGTTCGTTTCCTCTGTTTCTCTCGCTTCTTGATTTCATCCATGAATGGAGCTAATGAGCTAGGAGGCAGCATATCACCCAGGTCAATTTCACAGAACTGCGTAGTTCATAGATGACAGAGCGTAAGAACAAGCTTGTAAGTAAAAGTTAGTTATCCACAACTGGTTTACCTGGAACGTTGTTGTCAATGAGAAGTGACTTAGATAACGATAGCGCTTTCTTGTAGCTTCGGATTGTGTTACAGTTTCTAGCTCCAAGATTTTTCCATGTATTCTGCGTGCAAGTAAGCTGGATAAGTATCAAGCAAACACCACGAGCAACAACCAGATACAAAAAAAAAGGAGAAGAGATAAGCACTCCAACCAGAATGTAGTATCTCATGCACACAAGAAATACATTGCTCGAGCAAATTGAGTAAAATTGGTTATCAGATCAAACTAAACAAATTATCTCTGCTTACATAGTGAAAAATCCAATTTTCCATAATCATAATCAGGATGCAATCTACCCAATACTAATACAATACACAAAATAATGTGTCAATATGAGAGCGATGACTTTTAAGGTGTAAACAAACACTATACCTTGGTGGGAGCATATCAGAACTTCCATAATGGTTTATAAGGCATTTCATGTTTAGCGGATGAAGAATTAGGTGTTGGCCATCAGATACCTGCAACAAGATTTGACATATCAAAACTCTGAGAATGAAAAACCATGTGCACAAGGTAAACAATCACAGCCAGACATACTTCAGACCTGGTAAAAATTATAAGTATCATTCTCATTTGAATCTATGGGAGCCATACATCTCTCTTCTGTTTTCGATGGCATTCCTTTATTAAAGATTTTATTTGATTCAGGTGAAATACAGAGCTCCGAAACACCAGCAATCATATCTTCATCTGATAGAGGAGATAGCTTGTGTTCACTGTTCTGGCGTGAAGATTGTGCATTATTAGGGTTCCTTGATTTGGAACTAGTTACAGGTGAGAAGCTGTCTTTTAGGGGAGGGCTGACACTAAAATTTCTGTACTCACTCCAATATTTCATCCGTTCTTCTAGCTGCTCCAAAGCGGTAGAAACGTATGGAAGTTTCTCCAAGTCATCCACAAGGCCTAAATCTGCCATATGCAACCAATTAACAAGATCTGTTTTTGCCTCTCTAACAGAAAGTTCCACATCAGACGTCAAAATGAACTTGGAGAATGCACTGCAAGGATCTTCGTCTATAGTAGATTCATCAGTGAGGTTCTTAATAGAAGGAGTGAGTGAATTTTTTGAGCGGCTCAAAAGTGTAAATGTCACATTGTCACCAACATGAAAATGCTGGACTTGAGTAATATAGATTGTATACAACTCCTTTGTTGAGATCATCATGAAACACAGTGGGCACTTCTTCCAGCTTTCACCTTTGTAATCTTCTTTTCCCATAAGTAAATAACGTAAAATGCATGGAAAGCAATATATATGACCACATGATGTAATCTGTGGGCACAATGGGCTCTCCAAGCAAATAGGGCATTGCACCTCACAAGGGCTATAATATCTTACACATACAATATCTTCCCACTGGAGCATCTTATCTGGATCCATTAATTCTATTTCATAGCTTCCAGTATCCAACACAACAAACTTAAAATTTGCTTGTAGGAACAAATCTTTGTTGTATGGTCTGATCTTCCTCTGTCTTCTTGTAGGATATGTTCTGGGGCCTCTAGGCTGTGGCCGAGAAATTGGATCATAGTGGAAATTCAGCAGATAATTGGCATTTACAGACTGATTCTTTCTAGCAGTCACCTGAGTACCATTCCCACTAGAATTTGTAGTGGATAGATCAATCTTCAGGGATTCCATCAATTCAGGTCTCTGAGGAGTTGCCTGGCCTGAGGTGCCATTATTGGCTGAAAAACCTGAATTCCCATGTTCAGAAGAGTGGCATTCAGAAAAATTGCCAACTTCTTGGGTATATGAATCATCATTCTCTTCTCTAGAGATTCTGAATCCAACTACCTGGACATATTCCAGATTCATAAGAAAATTGAATGTAAGTTTCATAAAAAATCAAGAGCAACATACACAAATGTTTATCGAAAAACTGAAATCTGATTTGAATTACGTTATGTAAACATTTTACCTTTTGGGAAGTATCAACATATTCTCTGATAGCTGGAACCACCGAGACTGCAAAGTATGAGTTGCGTTGTAAAAATTACTTTCCAAATGGGTATATTGGAAACTAGTAAGGCAACACTTCAATAATATTTATGAAAAAAAAATACCAATCAATGGATATTTTTATTAGCAAAATGATGTAATCAATGAGCATGCTCATAGCAGACATTGTCAACACTCAACAGTGAATTTGAGAATCAATTGAACTAATGAAGAACACAAAATGGCTTCTAAGGGAACAGAACTTGGTTGAGACTGCAACATGCTATGTCAAATGGGGTCACTATCTTCATGACCCCATTGTTATTTCCACTATTTATACTAGATAGCATAACGTTCATATGGAATCACTAACTCCTGAAAAAACATAATCCCCCGCTCGCTTTAATTGAGCCTTCCCCACTTTTGAAGGATAGCTAAGTAAGTTGTAAGGCATCAATTGTCCAATATGGTAGTGCCTACCTGAGACCAAAATGTCTTTACAAAGAAATGCATGCTCTACAGCAAAGTAATGAATCTAAATTCCATGAGACGTAACCATTAATCCGCATCGGCAGCACTCGATAGTAACTGACCAATTATAAGCTTAAAAACATTGATCCACATGAATCCACACGAGAATTGGTCCAATTGGATTACAATTAACCAAGCCAAAGCTCACCTAAGCACGGATACAGAAATCTGTAACCCACGAAACACGAATTAACCTAGAAATCACAGACCAACACTCAATTTACCAAAAAGGTATTAGAGTTTCTACACAAAGCTTGGGCTCAACTCTACAACCTGCAAAATTAACAGGTAAAAAGCTTCCCACAATCCTCGTCCCCCCAACCAACCCAGTCCAGCTATCTAGATCAGTAGATCTGCAAGCCCCGCCGATAATCCCCTATCGTTTCAATCGACGTTTAGCCGTGGAAGGGGGAAGAGGGAGGGAGCTCGCGGGAAGCGAGAACTCACCGGAGCTCGGGCCGCCGCTCCCGCCGGCGGCTGAGGGCGGTGAGACGGGAGCCGTAGGGGAGCGTCGGCCGCGGCGGCGCGGTGGGGCGGAGCTGTTGCCATGGCGGGGTCCGGGGCTAGGGTTGGAAGGGCGCGGCGCGAGCGGCTGGGATCCTCTGGTGGATTCGGAAGGGGAGATGGACATCAACTCCGCGCGGGAGCTCGGTGTTGGGTCAAACGGCGGCTCGTCTGGTCGGCGGCGAGGTGGCGGGCGGCGGTGGCGGCGGCGACGCCGACGCGGTCACGGTGGCGCGGCCTTTATACGGTGGTGGTTGGGGAAGCAGACACGACGAGGACGCGCATGGCTTGGCTGGACCAAGTCCACGTGAGCCGCAAACGTGGAGGATTATAGTATTATACTGGTCGGAAAAGCAGGTGGGTCCCACATGTAAGTGTGACGGAATCTGTGAGCCGAGTCCATGGAAGCTGTGGGAGGGCTTATGGAGGAGGCGAATATGCGGTTGAGTTCGCTGGCGTTGCCGAACCGATGCGACGGAGCTCTCCACGTGAGGATGACGTGTGGGCCCAGTGACCCACGCATATGGACCCAGCTTATGGAATGGATGGGCTGGACCTTTGCTTGAAGAAATTAGTATATTTTGCTTCTCCTAACTACTGCCCTTTGTCCAATAACACCCCTCAACAATAAAATCGGTACATTACATCCTCCAACTTTAACAACCGGTGCAAATCAATATTTTTAGTAGTTTGCAAAGTGGTTTTTACTGACATGATAGGTTGATCGTGCTTAGACTCACTAAGTCAGCATGGGCTACTGTAGGACCCATGTGTCAACGCCCACTCTTCTTGTCCTCTCTCTTTCTTTCTCCAAACCAAGCCAACAAGCCCCTCCGAGCACGTCCACTTGTGAGTCCGTCCAACATCTAGCTCCGAGAGGCTATGATGCAACAGGAGGTTGATGATCGAGGACGGAGATCACAACGGCATGGGAGCTCAACAACGCGCTCATTGCACCATCCCCAAGTCGGTGCTCTCTCCCTCATCTCCTGCGCTACGCACACAAGGAGCTCGAAGCTCCTAGCGACCACCTCCCAACGGTCGGACAAGGGGCTTTGGGAGGAGGTCAACAGACCGAGGACGAAGGTCATAGCGGCACGGGAACTCGAGGAGACGCTCGCCGCACCATCCCCAAGCCGATGCTCTCTCCCCTATCTCCTCCGCCATGTGCGTGAGGAGCTTAAAGCTTCCAGCAACCACCTCCTAGCAGCTAGACGAGGGGCTTTGGGAGGTTGGTAGACTGGGGATAGAGGTTGTGGTGGCACGAGAGCTCAAGGAGGCGCTCACCTCACTATCTCTCTTTCATCACTTCCCTCTTTCCACTTGGGACCTAGGGAGGGAGGCGGTGGCGAGGTGGAGCTGAGGAAGGCAGTCCTCCCGAAGTAGTCAAGGAAGCCCAACGAGAGGAGACGACTGGTGGAAAAGAGTCCTATCTCTCCAAGGATAGTGGAGACATAGAAGTCTGGGCGGAGCAGGCAAAGGCCTTAGGCGGCAACAGGAGCTCGGCGAGGCATCTCGCCAAGGAATGTTGTGCATGTGCGGCGCCAATGCATCTTGGTGCATCCATGGTGCCGCGGGCGCTAGTTGATGCTACCGAGAAGACCACCTCACTCGCCTCGCCGCCACCCGAGAAGGTCGCGATGCTCTACTACAGCGACGAGGCCACCCTCTACTCCGCTAGCGACAGTCGCGTCCACCTCGCCAATAGGCTCGCAAGCAAGCACCACCACTCCCTTTTCTCTCCACCTCCCTCGATTCCGCGAACCAGAGGAATTCCTCGATGGCGGCGAGGAGGGCGAGGGTGGCGACCTCGGCGGCAACGGCAAGGGGCGTGGCGAGGGTGGCCCGTGCCACAACACGTTGGGCGGAGGTAAGTGCCACCGCTGCGTCGTCCGCGGAGAGCTCATCGAGGTGGCACTAGGGTTGAAAGCAGACGATTGAGGAAAGAGACGACGAAGAGGCGTTGTGGTCAAAAGTAGCCACGGCTACAGTGCCAAAGGAATTGGGTGGCAGCAAGGGTGATGCCTGGTGGCGGCTGTGGCATGACCATGGTGGTGCAAGCTCGCCGGAGTCGTTGGCTAAGGAGTGTAGAAGAAGAGGAGGAAGGAGGATGATCCGACATGTGGGACCCACTGTCATTTTTTTTTTCTGTTTAAAATGCCACCTAAGCACCATGTAGGATAAAACCATCTACAAAAACATCCAGGGAGTCGATTTGTAATAGTTTTCGAAGATGGGGAAGGCGCTATATCCGGTTTTGGGGAAAGACCAAGAGATGAGGGAGTCAGAACAGACTTCTTCCTTGCTAGAATAGATCCCGGTGGAGAGTGGAGGACGTGTTAAGCTAGGCCTTTGCTAGGACATTTGGCCCATTTTCATAAATTCAAGTAAAAACGAATGAACCAATTCCATTTCTTACATCAAACAGGAAAAAAGACTCATACAAGATGAGAAAAATATCCCAAAGTTAAACGGCGATTCTTATTTAGCACATTTGCGTTCGCAGTGCACATTTTCTTTTCCTAAAAAACATTCATCTGAAAACATTCGTCCGAAAAACTTTCATCTGGAAACGTTTGCCTGAAATACTTTTATAAAATAACTTTTGCGTTGGTAATGCAACTTCACTAAAGCAGATAAACATTGCTACGATTCAGATCGTCAAGATGCCAGTAACAACCTTACCTTTCCTCCCTATAAATTACAGTACAAAACAAAGGCAACATCTCAAATCAATAACGGTTTCTGACCGAACTTCAGAACCGGGGGTTTACAAAAGAATCGAATTGCCAATTAATGATCCCTAAGCCAATCTGTACAATATCCCCATAAAAATGTCACCTTCTCCTCTCTCTCCCCTGCTGTAAATTATTTCACACTCTACGTGACTCCGAACAACCTGAATTCCTACGCTTAATTAGCGTTACATATAGGAGTACTAGTATCTTATTCATATACTGTATATGCCTGGCTATAGCTTGTCGGCGATCCGGCCGAGCGCGTCGGCGAGCCGGCCGAGCACGACGGCGAGGCTGGCCGCCTGGTCTCGCCGCTGCTCCCGGTCGAGCCGGCTGTTGGCGTTCTGCGCCTCCAGCTGCGCCGCCACCATCCGGCTGCTCCGATCCAGGATCTCCACCAGCTTGCTCTGCAGCTCGCCGCCGCGGCGGCCGTCGTCCTCCTCCTCCTCGTCGTCGTCGGCTCGCCGCCGCTTCTGCCCACCCTGCTGCTGCTGCGTCGTCGGCGGCGGCGGCGGTGGCGTGCCTCTCGATGCGGCCTGCTGCTCCGGCTGCTTGTCTTTCGACGTGCCTGTGAAAAAAGAAGAATAGTCGCTGATTGGTTAGTAGTGTTACGATACTTCCAGCTCAGATCAGCTGTTCGTCACGTTACTTTCGGAGAAGATTGTGTCGTCTGATCATGCAACTACTAATTACCAAGTCTTTTCAACTCTTCGCCGGCAAAAAAAAAAAATGGAAGCTTTTTTTTTTCAACTGTACTACACATCGAGATGCTAATGAAAACTGCAGATTTGCTCGTGGAAATAAACCAAAAAAAAAAAGCAAACGGATTCGTTTGCTGCTACTACGATTGATGACATATTGACATGACACTGAGGAAGTACCACGACGCGTATGATGAAACGATAATTAATTAAATCTGCAGGCATCATCATCTGCACAGTACAATGCACATGAATATTTCGTATCTGCAAAGAAATAGGTTACCGATCTAAACCATCTCCTTTCATTTGTCAAAACAAGGCAAAGGACACAGGAATTCACGCCTCTTCCCAGCTCTAAAGATTGGCCGGGAAAACGTATTTATCTCTCATCTCTCTCATTTTATGTGTGTCATCTAAATAGTCATTAAAAAAATTAAAATAAATTGACAAGATTAATATGAAATATATCACTCCACATACATGTAAGTTAAAATTTAATTTTTAGTAGACGTGCATTGCAACGGGTAAATACTATTTTAATTTTATTATTGTTATATCTTTTAGTTAAGGTGAAATATACTGTAAGAACCCGTTTGGATATATATATTATTTTAGAAAATCATGAGCTGCAATTAGGAGTCTGATCGTCTCAAGTTAGCATGCGAGTTTTTAAAGAAATCTCTTATACAATTCCTTCTGTATTTACAAAAACAAACGAACTTAAAAACCGACTTAAATACGGCTTTGTATTTCCAAAAAGAACAAACTTAAAAACCGACTCACACTCGGATAACGTACCAAAGTACCGACAAAAACATCTTCAATTTGTATAATAGTATAGGCAAGTTATAACAAAAAAAGCTGCGAATATACGATAACTATTTTCAGTTTAATTCATTTTTTTTGCAACTTATAGAAGTTGAATTTGGCTTTTGCATGCTTATGAAGTGATGTATTTCATAGCAATCTATGTTGAGGTGACATGCAAGTAAGTAGAGGATATCCCCTTAAGAGATGAAAATTCATATCTAGAGGCAATGCTGCTACTACTACGTACAACCGTTTGGCAATGCTACTAATCTTCAGGTGTACTCGATTTGAAGCACTAAACTAAGGTATTAGTTTTGAATCAGAATCATATCAAACTGACCCATTTTATTCGAACATTGCAAATTTGAAATCCTAAATGCCGTGCGCTAGGAAGGAACCGAAAGCCGTGTTCGATATCAAGGACTGCCAATACAGAGAAAGCTTCGAGGGACATGGTAACCACCGAATCAATTCAGTTTTTGGTGGGTTGCCACTTCCATCACACCACAGGGGTGAGTAAACTCTAGTTTTGGTTTCAATGGCCCCCACACGGCCATATATAGCTCAATCAGTTCATCATGCGAAAGCAGAGTTTGCATTGCGTTGCAACAATTGGTTGGACAGAGATGTAGTTTTTGCCCCGAGGAGCCCACTGTTTAGCACTAGTTGGGCTAGTGGCTAACATGATGGACAATCTAGGAAGGTGAACAGTGCAAGTACAATTGACAATTTGGATTTCCTTTTTCTTTTGGTCTTACTGTGTGGGTTGAATTTGGATTTAAATTTTAGGATAATACATATATATTGTGCAAATGCCATTAAACATTTTCAAATTTTTCCGTAACAAATTACATGTGATTTGAAAGAATGACGGGGCAAACCTCTCTTACGGGATAAAAAAGGTTTCCCATTCTAGGAAGCATCTGACAGTTTACTAGTAAAACCATTTGCTGATAATCCTGAAATTTCATTGCTAAGTGACATGGTGAAAGAGATGCATCAAGTGCATTTGCAGGCTGCAGCTACCTCCTGCCACCCAAACTGATAATCATAACATGCATCACTAATCTAAATCGCAATTTTTTCGCCTTTTTGTCTACGGACTATGCTGATCAAGTCAATGGAACAGTAACTTATTTCTTTTTCCCTTGTGCAACACTAGCAACAAATCTGGAAACAAGGCAGCAAAAGGAGAGAGCTCGATCGAGAAAAGATGATGTAAAATGAAGTGAAATCCGATTACCTCCTTTCTCTGTTCTTCTCTGGAAAAAGAAATCACGAGGAAAAAAAAAGCAACATGAATCGATGAACCTACCAAACGAACCATCTCTACCAGAACGAACACGAACCAGAAACAAGAAAGACACCAGGCAAATCATTCAAACCCTCACCCCAAAATTTCAATATGAGGACGCACAGACTAAATTTGAGCACTGGAAGCTCAAAATTTTGCGGCAATTCAAGTCGTCAACGCAAAGAGGACACGCTGAACAATCTGTGCGATGGGAACCGGAAAGATTCCCACCTTTTTCGCGTCCTATGAACAGCGTAAACACAGATTCGTCGCTCAAAAGCTAGGTTTTGTAGCAAATTATTTCCCGAGTTTACCGCCGAAAAGTGCTAAGAGTTCGAATTCATCGAGGAGGAGGAGGAGGAAGAGGGGCGAGAACTCTGCTTTTATCGCCAAAAGATATTGCAATTTTAGCAGCAAAAAAAGGAAAGAAAGTCAAAGGGCAGCTCACCGGATATCGGCAAGGCGATCACCGCTCGAGGCGGCGCCTGTGCCGTCGCAGCGACGGCGGCGGCGGTCGCCGGCGGCGCCTCGTCGTCGTCCTCCTCCTCCTCGTCGTCGGAGAACAGCGACTCTTCCGCGGCGGGGCGGCCACTGTCGAACACCGTCTCCTCGGCTCGGGCTCGCGTCTTCCCCGTCTCCTCCTCCTCCTCCACCTCCACCTCCACCTCCGCCGCCGCGCGCGCGGGCTCCTCTTCCCCCGCCGCGGCATTACCTCCTCCGGAGGGGGAGACGAGGGTGCCGCGCCCCCGGCCGTCGAGTATGTCGTACACCTCCCGGTCGAAGAACCCCGGGAGCCGGCGCTCCCGCCGCGCGTCGTTCCGCATGGCCCAGAACGACGGCTCCCGCGGCGGCGCCGCCGCCGCCGCCGCGCGCTCCCACTCCTTGATCTTCTTGTAGTCCCCGGCGAGGTTGCTCCACCGCTTCCTGCACTGCACGGCGCCCCTCTCCACGCCGTGCCGCCGGCAGTACTCCGCCACCGCCGCCCACTTGGGCTCCAGCGCCGCCACCGCCGCCTCCCCCCCAGAGCCCCCCGCCGCCGCCGCCGCAGCAGCAGCAGCCGCCGCCGCGGCGCGGCCCCTCCCGCCGCGCCCGCCCCCTCGGCCCTCCACCATGCGCTTCCCCTCGATCAGCACCAGTATCTCCTGCCGCGTCCACCGCGGCAGCCTCGGCGCGCGGCCGGACGGCGTGGCGGCTGCCGCGGCCGCGGCCGCCGCGGCGGGGTCGCCGGCGGTGGACATGCGCGGCGCGTGTGCCTTTCTTTTTTTTTTTTTGTGGCGGAAGTTGACGTGACGGCGTGAGGCGGGTGGTGTAACGGAGAGATAACGGCGAGGAGGGGAGGGGACGCGTGGGGAAGAAGGGAAGGGGGAGAGAGAGAGAGAGAGAGAGAGAGAGAGCAAAGAGGGCATGAAGGAAGGAGGGAAGAGGGGTTGTGTCTTAAGAGAAGGGATTAGGAGGATTTTGGAGGGGTTGTTTTAGTTATTAGACACTCATCATGTGGAGGAGATGAGACATTTATGTAGTACACTAGTACTAAATTGTAATCAAGCATCCAAGCCCAAATGCCCAAACTTGGTTTTATTAGGGATATATTTTAAAATGACCATCCATAATTTTTTTATACAAAAAAGGTATTGTTCTTCTCATGGCATTTTCATTCTCCTAAACTTGGTATTATTAGGGACACTTTTTAAAATGGAGAGATGGTAATTTTGATTGTATTCTAAATTTATGTGATGGATTTATTCTTTATTCTCAACATGTGAGTTGTTTACAAAAGTAGAATTCCTTTTGAACATCGACATGAACGAATCAGGAGACTACAATAGCTTACATGGAAAATAAAATCATTTATGAATGTCCTTATCTTTATGTCTAAATGTTTGATGACAATATTGCTTAGGTGGGAAGCCAATAAGGAGCTTTTCAATTAAAAGGATTAGTAAGGGAGGAGGGTCATGTGTATTGTTCAACAGCCATGGGCTTAGAACAATGTTGGTATATCCGTGTAGGAATGGATGGCTTAATTAAGTGATCAACTTAGGATATTAATTGCCATAGTTGCAGTCTTAGCCACTTCCATAAGCTAGCTTAAAGAAAAAAAATGTCCTGGAGGGAGAGAGTTAGTTGGGGCTTAACCAGAGGAATCGGTGCTAAATACCAAATGCCCATGATGCCTCATATCTCCATGATGTAACAAGCAAAAGGTGTTTTGGGGTTTTGGAATTGGAGAAACCTTTGGATAACAATGGTGGACATTGCAAGGAGTGGTGCTGCCTTAAGGAGGTGGATTAATTTATTGTGTGATTAGGACTTGTGATTAGAGCACAACAATACCCTGCCAGGCTCCTACCGTCTCTGTCAATCTTTGTGATGGGATAAAAATTTCTTTTCTTATCTTTATTCCACACCAAGGGGTTTAATTTGGCCCATTTTATTTTTTTAGTCAAAAAAAATGTACAGGAGTATTTGATTTGTCTGTGTGCTAGACACGTGTCTACCGGAGGTGGAATTATATGGGAGGCCAATTGCTAAACCACATCAACTAGTGGTTAGCACTAACCCTCTTGAATTAGTGCTTAACCTTGCCCCTAATGGCTAAAGTTCACAAAAAAGGATGACCACGTTAGGATGCTGCTACTAAGAGAATAAGATGCCAGACTTAATTATTCTTAATTAATTGTTCTTTTGTGAAAATTGAAAAAAAAAATAAAGATGTAAGGAACCAGTGTATAGAACATGTACTATCTGCATAAATGCCATGATGATGATATGGTTTTGCTCAAAATTGTGTATAGGTGTGCATCATATATATATGGTGCTATAAGCAGGTTGGACCTCACCTAATAGAGTTGTATAATTAGGGCTCCAGTATTGGTTTAGCTGTCCCTGACCTGGCCCTTTAAATTTGAGGAGGTCCATTTCCATGCCATATGGCATTTGAATTGACCTCACCTACTGCCAAGTTCCTGTCAACATGGTTGTAAACAACTACACTGCTTGTATTTTGGTACATGTATGATGTATCCTCTAGCTTTCCCCTATATTATTATTGCAGCTTGTAGAACACATCTTAATTAGCACTGCGATGAGAATATGGAGAGAAGCCCCATGATTGAATTTCCCTTTTCGATGCATGTCATGCAATAGTTAGCCGTTTCAGAGAGTTAGCTTCGCACTGATAATTAGAGAGATCAATTAATTAGTGGACCAAATCTAGCTAATTCTTGCACTAAGAGCCAAAAAGAACATCATTAGGGGGCCCTTTCGAACGCGAAAATTTTTCATGCTTTTGTACTAATAATGAAAATTACACATAATTCTGTGAGAGAGTTCTTAGAAAAGAGAAACTTAGAAAAAAAAATCCTAAATAGTAACAGAGTTCTTGATCTCGGAAAAAAAAAGATATCTTTTCTCCTGTCACTGTGGAGACACTGTTTGACTTTGATTGGGGAGATTTTATAATAATTCCCAGTACGGCAACAAAATCCTGAGAAAAAAAAGGAGAGAAGTAAATAAAACGGCGGCAAATCAAAAGGTTGTGGGAGATTTGGGCATGATCCTAAGAGGATATCGCCCATAGAGAGAGAGAGAGAGAGAGGTCCCAAAACGAGAGGCGTGGCTCTTCCATTGTTCCATGCACCTCGCTTGCTTGCTTGCTCGCTCGCTCGCTCGAGCCTCCTGTAACTTTCAGTGTCAACTTCCCCTTTTCTGTGTGACCAAATGGGCCTCTCCCATCCATCTCTCCTGCCCTTTCAGCCACTACAAGAGGCTACGCATCCTGCAACCCATTTACACATATACATATATACTCCATCCGTCCCATAAAAAACCAGCCTAGTACCGAATGTGACGTATCCTAATACTACGAATCTAGATATACATATGTTTAGATTCATCGTACTATAATATATGCAAATATATATATGTTACCTCTGGTTTCGAATGTATGTAACTGTTGGCCAGTACAACAAAAATTTTAACTGTGAACATCAATAAACATTAAATGGTTATACGTCATGACACATGGAAGTTTTATGGCTATTTTGTTTATTTTTTTTAAACAAACCAACGTTATATAAAAAGAAAAAAGGTATATTTTTTCTTTAATTATATGTGTCCATGAGATGAGACGATGACCTCTTCTTCCTCTAGCTGGATGCTGATGTTTCCATTGCGATGTGCCCTAGCTATGTGTGGGGGAGGGAAGGGAGGGCAGTTAGTAGCTTTGCAAGCTAGCTGATGGGTGGATAGGTCATGGTGATGGCAACTGCTTTCATTAGAAATGAAATGAAAGAAAGAAATCAAGAAAGAAAGAAATCGAGGATGAAAGATATTGAGATAGGGCAAGATGAGGTGTGACAGGTGCCTCTCTTGTTGGTGCCTTGCCATCCTATCCCATGTTGACGACTCATCATCGATCTCGATCTTGTGTCCGTTTTGACTTTGTTTTCCTCCTTTTTCTCCTCCTTTTGCATATGTATAATCCACTGCAAAATTAAAATATAGCTGTGTGTATATATTAGCATATGCGCACGTGACGTGACGACGTCTGGTTTTTCTCTATTCCTTCCTTGATGTTGTTGTCACGTTAATTTTAATAATTTAATGGTTCTTGGTGTACTTCCTGATACCTCTAAATTCTTTTGTTGGTTTTTATTATATCTGCGTTTGTGCGGTAACTTCTTGACCGCAAAACAAAATTGAAGTTATCCAAAATCTCGAAAATTTTTAAAACACAACCATACGGATGAAAACATACTGATACTGATTGGAATTGAACCCGACAGTAATTCTGAAAACATTAAACTATATATAAAAAAAGCACGTATCTAACTGTCGAAACTAGATTTCGGCAATAATAAAAGGGGGTGGCTATCAAGCTGGAAAAGTGTATGGGTTTGGAGACAAAAGATTTATACAGGTTCAGGCCTTCTTATAAAAGAAGTAATACCCTACTCCTGTCCGGGGATGAATCCGCCGAGTGTATTATTGATTGTATGATTTAGAGAAAATCAACATCTGCCCCTAGAGGCGCCCGGACCCCCCTTATATATGGGAAGGAGTCCGGGTTACAAAAGATAATCAATATCCCTAACGGAATACACAGATATAGATTAAATACAGCCGTGACCGACTAAGTCTCAAGGTGTTTCCTTGTTGTACAAGTCAAGAAACAAACCCGAGATACAAATAAGATATTCTATACATATTCGGTATCCTATATCCAGCCCAAATAGTATCGCCGTGTAGATATGGGATATCCATAATCTCCACAGTAGCCCCCGAGACCTTTGCAGTCAACCATCGTAGCCTTCTCAAAGATAGCAATCCGAGTGCTTCAGATTATTCATGCCAAGGCCCACCGAGTAGCGAAGACGAAGACTGTAAAGGGCGAAAAGATAAAGAATATGGTGCATCGAATAGATGCACCTAATTAGGTGTAGCCCCCAACTATGTGATTAGTTAACAAACTAAACATATAGTTGAGAACAATATAATAACACAATCATGCATTAGATGGCAAAAGCATACGCGTCGCCTAAAGAGGCATTCTAGCCGACTGCTTTTTAGCCATAATAAAAAGAATCCGAGTGGTTTACACTCGAAAAGGTTCACGAATGAACACACTGGACAGGCATCCGAATATAAAACTATAAAGATTACCCACCAAATATTATAAAAATTATGGTAACAAAAAGACTAATAGCCTAGGCTATGTCAAGTTACCACAATAAAAATAGGTATATAACATACCAAGGAAATGACTATGATAAAAACAAGTCATTCCAAGTTAACCCAAACAGCTTTTGTAGCCTAAAAAAGCTTACAAAAACAGCATAACGCTTTTCTGCAGGGCACCTTTTAATTTGCATTGCAATAACTCCAAAGAATTATATGACCGCATAAAAAGGATTTTGTCAGCATTGGGCAACACTATTGTGTGCATAAATATTGCCAAAGCAAAATATGCCTAAGTCCCTAAGGAACACAATGGGCCACGCTGTTAAAAGTATTGGGCTGAGGTACTGTTCAGGCCTAGGCCCATTTGCACCTCCGATACCCTTAACAAAAAATCCGAGATCCAAGCGACGCTTCGTCTTCCCCGCCGGAACGCTCGCCATTTTCCCCACTCCTTGCTACAGTAAAGAGCTGCGCCGGCGAACTAGGGTTCATCAATCCGTCCAAATCCACCTTCGAAAAGTGATTAAAAATCCTTCCCGTGATCCACCGCCTCAATTCCTCACCTCTCCCAAGCCATCCATCAAATCAAATCAGCGCATTCGGGTAAAATCGATGGCGGAGGAGAAAGAAAGCTTTGAAGGCCAATGGGCGCCATCCGACGTAACGGAAGAGAACTTGAAGGAGATGGTGGCGCACGGCGTTCTCCCAGCCAAGGAGATCATCGGGTGGCGGCCAGCGTGCGGTGAGGCTTTTCCGACCCCTGATACACATGAGATCGTAGTCTTCTCGCATTTCTTCTATGGCGGCTTCGCTCTTCCGACCTCGAAATTTTTCCGCGGGATCTTGAACTTTTATGGAATCAGCTTGCATCACCTAAACCCAAATTCCATAGTGCATATCG